TTTCCAAAGTCATGAGAATTTATATATATATGAATTTTTTTTTAACTATATAACTGATATCAGAAATGTACAGCGTGGGGTTGAGACAGGCAGGATGGTGGGTGTTGCTGCCCCAGTTGGTTGGCGATTGTGGCTGATGGTGGTGGCAAGCTCTTACTTTTCTGGCTTTTTAGGACTACATTTCCCACCATTCCCAAGCTGCCAGGGCTTGGAACAGTTTCCCTGGGGATGCGTAAATATGGGGCTGCTTCTCTCACTCCCTTCCCTGCCCGTGTTCCACTGTGAATATGTTTGTGTAATGCGACATACAGCTTTTGGAGGGATTCATAGACATTAGGGTCGGAAGGGACCTTGAAGATCATCAAGTCCAGCCCCCTGCCCCAGGGGCAGGAAGTCAGCTAGGGTCAAAGGATCCCAGCAAGATAAACATCCAAATGTTTCTTGAAACAGTCCAGAGTAGGTGCGTGCACCACTTCTGGAGGAAGTCTATTCCAGGTCTTGGGGGCTCAGACAATAAAAAAGTTTTTCCTTATGTCTAGCCTAAAACGGTCATGGAGGAGTTTGACCGTTGGTTCTTGTTATCCCTTAGGATAACAAGGGATCCCCCAGATGATGAACAGACATCCCCCAGATCTTGATGCATACCCTTTATGTACTTATAGGCAGTCACCAGGTCCCCCCCCTTAGCCTGCGCTTTTCCAAGGTGAAGAGTCCCATGGCTCTCAGCCTCTCTTCATAAGGCCTATTCTATTGCCCTCTGATCATGCATGTGGCTCTCTGGACTCTCTGAAGCTTCTCAACATCGTTCTTGAATTGTGGAGCCCAGAATTGGATGCAGTACTCCAGCTGCGGCCTCACCAAGGCTGAGTACAGCGGGAGGATGACATCCTGAGAACATAACATAACATAACATGAGAAGCATCTATGGATGCAAGCCAGAGTTTTGTTTGCTTTACCAGCTGCGACATCAGATTGATGGCTCATGTTCATCTTGTGGTCAACCCTGACCCCGAAGTCTTCTTCAGCAGTGGTGCTAGCAAGCGTAGCACTGCTGAGCCTATAAGTATGCTGCAGGTTTTTTTTCCCCGAGGTGGACCTTACATTTATCGGTATTGAACATCATCAGGTTTTTATCCGCCCACTTACTAAGTTTATCCAAGTCAACCTGGATCACTAGCCTGTCTTCAGGTGTGGATGCTACACCCTAAAGTTTAGTGTCATCAACGAACTTGGCCAGTGCGCTTCTGACACCAATGTCCACATCGTTGATAAAGATGTTGAAGAGAACCGGTCCAAGAACAGAGCCTTGGGGGACACCACTGGTCACAGAGTGCCATAATGATTTGTACCCATCAACTACTACTCTCTGGGTCCAACCTCGGAGCCAATTTCCCAGCCATCAGACTGTGGTGTAGCCGAGGCCACATTTGGCCAATTTTTACATAAGGAGATCATGGGATCCCAGATCAAAGGCTTTTTTGAAGTCCAGATATATGATGCCAAATTCTTCTCCCTTATCCAGGTGATATGTCATCTGGTCATAGAAGATGAGATTGGTCCAGCAAGACCTACCCACGACAAACCCGTGCTGGCTGTCCCTCAGGATGTTGTCATCAGCTAGCTTATCAAGAAGGGTCTCTCTGATAATTTTCTCCAGAATCTTACCGGGGATTGAGGTCAAGCTGATTGGCCTGTAATTCCCAGGATCTACTTTCCGCCCTTTCTTGAAGATGGGTACCACATTGACCTTCTTCTAGTCTTCAGGTACTTCACCTGAGCACCATGAATTCTTGAATATTTTTGCCAATGGTTGGGCTATGACACCTGCCAACTCCTTGAGTACTCTAGGGTGTAATCTGTCAGGACCAGCTGACTTGAAGATGTCCTGCCTCTCAAGGTGTTCTTTACAAGGTCTGCATCGATGCTGGATATAGATACGCCCTCAACCTGGACGTCCAGGTCGTCCCACGTCTTGCTAGGCAGGTTGGTCTCATTGGGCTGATGAAAGACCGACGCAAAGTACCCATTAAGCAGATTGGCCTTTTCCTGGGTGTCAGTTATCAGCTGTCCCGTTTGGTTCAGCAGGGGTCCAATGTTACCCTTGCTTTTTTTCCGACTCCCTACATATCTGAAAAAGGACTTTTTATTATCCTTTATATGTGAAGCCAGATGGTGTTCGGTTCCAGCCTTGGCTTTCCTGGTCCGCTCCCTGCAGGCACAGACCACTACTGAGTACTCCTCCTTGGTGGTGATTCCAGCCTTCCATCCTTTATAAGTCTCTCTTTTTAGGCGTAGGAGGTCCTCAAGTTCCCTGCTGAGCCAAGGGGGTTGCTGCACACTTTTGATACCCTTCCTCCAAGTTGGAATGGACAACACTTGTGCTGTCAAGATCGCTCTCTTGAGGAGCAACCACTCCTCTTGGACTCCTCTTCTTGTCGAGTCATGGTCCCTTAGGGACTTAACAACAAGTCTCCTGAGCTTGTTGAAGTCAGCTTTCCTAAAGTCAAGGACTTCTGCACTGCTGACCGATTTGCCAGCTTTGCGATGGATAGTAAAGGTGATCAACTTGTAGTCACTATCACCCAGCTTTCCACTGATTCTTACGTCACTGACCAGAATATCCCCTTTGGCCAGTACCAGGTACAGCAATGCTTTACCACTTGTCGGCCCATAGACTTGAGTCAGGTAGAGCTCGTTCACACATGCGAGGAAGCTTTCCAACCAATCGGATTTGTCCGAGTGCTCTTCCCATGAGATGTCCGGGTAGTTAAAGTCTCCCAGAACAACCATGCACTGACAGCGCGCAGCCTCAGCCAGTTCCCTGGCGAATTGTTTCTGGTTCTTGTTTGCTCTTGTTTCTGGTTAGGAGGTCTGTAGTAGACTCCTACCATGATGTCCTCTGTGCCACGTTCCCCACATATTTTAACCAGAGGCACTCCAGTCATCCTTCCTGGGTGCCAATGTCAATTTGCAGGGATAGGTAGCTTTCCTTGACATAGACAGCTACACCCCCACCTCTTTTATCATATGCACAATCTCTCCTGTACAGGGTATAACCATGTATACCTGTGGCCCAGTCATAGGTGGAATCCCACCAGGTCTCCGTTATCCCTATGAGATTATAGTTTTTCTTGCTTAGCAGGAGAACCAGTTCCTCCTGTTTGTTCCCCAAGCTCCTGGCATTGGTGTACAGATACGTAAGTGTCCCATTGGAAGCCCTAGGCTTCCTTGCATTCCCAGACAGACACCATTCCAGGGCTGGGGTAGGAGTTGATTCCCTTGGGTGCCCTAAGCTGCTGGTTATGCAGTAGTTGCCTAGTGGGCTTGCATTGGCAGTTATCCACCCATCCACCAGC